GCAAGGCAATATAACACGAAGCAGTGAACACATTGCGAGGCGATGCAGTGCGAGGCGAAGCAAAGCACCGCGGAATGCCAGAATATGGGGATGTTCGGCGAGCCTCTCCGATTCAGTGCGCAAGAGGGCGAACTATGAAAACTAAAGGTGATGCAAGGTTGCGCAAGGCAGCGCCGTGAGGGGCTCGGTGTAATGCTAGCTTGTCAAGTCAGGGCAATCCAGACACCAGAAATCATTGCATGGCAAGCGTGTCATAGCACTTCCACTAGTTGAAGTATTCCATAAGTCATGGGGGGGCGGTTGTCAGGGCAGTTGCCAGATTCGACCACGCTTACCTAGGAGCTCGGCTTAAAGCGGATTCGAGCTGCACTGGGATTCCAGGATGTGTGCGGATGTTCTTGCGCCGTTGAAGTGACGCAAGCAGGTTGTCGGAGTGCATCCCAAGATCGCCTTCGCCGGGAGTCAGATGGGGTGTGCCAGCTAGTGTGCTCAGACGGCAGGGACAGAGGGACAGAAGCAGTGGCCGACCTCTCCTGCACGGGGACGCGCTGACAGAGAAGAGACGTGCAAGAGCAGGGCAGGTCGCGGGGGCACCGGGAGGCCTCGGGAGAGGCCAGGCAGCGCACCAGAGCGCGCCCCGGCCTCCGAGCTCGCGCGGGTGGCGCAGCCCGGAAAGAACGCCATCCATTCATATTTGAAGATACGTTTGCTGAACGATTTGAATGATTCCGGTTTCTTTTCATGCGCAGAAGTTGCATGGTATCGATATTTTTGAAATATATTTTGGCGAAGGACCCAACCATCTGCAGTTGTGAATACCGCAATTGCGACGATCTTCTTCGGTGGAGCTCCCTATGGGGCCACGAAGCGCTGCACTGGGTGGGGGGGAACGCATGCAGGCGGTAGCCACTTGGGCCTCCGGTGGAGCTCCCTAGGGGGTCACGAAGCGCTGTACTGGGTGTGGGGGGGCGCATGCGGGCGGTAGCACTGGGGCCTTCGGTGGAGCTCCCTATCGGTCCACGAAACGCTGTACTGGGTGGGGGAGGGGCACGCGGGCGAAAGCACTGGGACATTCGGTGCTCCGCATGAGGCCACGAAACGCTGCACTGGGTGGGGGGACGCATGCGGGCGGTAGCGCTGGGACCTTCGGTGGAGCTCCATATGGGGCCACGAAGCGTTGTACTGGGTGGGGGGGATGCATGCGGGCGGTAACGTTGAGGCCGTCGGTGGAGCTTGCGATGGGGCCACGAAGCGCTGTACTGGGTAAGGGGAACGCATGCGGGCGGTAACACTGAGGCCGTCGAAGGAGTCCCTTATGGGGCCAGGAAGCGCTGCACTGGGTGTGGGGGAACGCATGCGGACGGTAGCCACTTGGGCCTCCGGTGGAGCTCCCTATGGGGCCACGAAGCGCTGCACTGGGTGGGGGGGGCGCATGCGGGCGGTAGCACTGGGGCCTCCGGTGGAGCTCCCTATCGGTCCATTAAACGCTATACTGGGTGGGGGGGGCGCATGCGGGCGAAAGCACTGGGACATTCGGTGGTGCTCCGCATGAGGCCACGAAACGCTGCACTGAGCTGGGGGGACGCATGCGGGCGGTAGCGCTGGGACCTTCGGTGGAGCTCCATATGGGGCCACGAAGCGTTGTACTGGGTGGGGGGGATGCATGCGGGCGGTAACGTTGAGGCCGTCGGTGGAGCTTCCTATGGGGCCACGAAGCGCTGTACTGGGGGGGGGGGGGGACGCATGCGGGCGGTAACACTGAGGCCGTCGAAGGAGTCCCTTATGGGGCCAGGAAGCGCTGTACTGGGTGGGGGGAACGCATGCGGGCGGTAGCACTGAGGCCGTCGACGGAGTCCCTTCTGGGGCCACGAAGCGATGCCTGGCGGGGGGCACGCATGCGGGCGGTAGCACAGGGGCCGGTGGAGCTCTCTATGGGGCCACGAAGCGCTGTACTGGGTGGGGGGGGGGCGCATGCGGGCGGTCGCGCTGGGGCCTTCGGTGGAGCTCCCTAGGGGCCACGAAGCGCTGTACTGGTTGGGGGGGACGCATGCGGGCGGTAGCAGAGGGACCTTCGGTGGAGCTCCCTTCTGGGGCCAGGAAGCGCTGTACTGGGTGGGGGGGGCGCATGCGGGCGGTAGCCAATTGGGCCTATGGTGGAGCTCTATATACTGCCGCGAAGCGCTGTACTGTGGGGGGGGGGGGGGCGCATGCGGGCGGTCGCGCTGGGGCCTTCGGTGGAGCTCCCTATCGGTCCACGAAGCGCTGTACTGGGTGGGGGGGACGCATGCGGGCGGTAGCGCTGGGACCTTCGGTGGAGCTCCATATGGGGCCAGGAAGCGCTGTACTGGGGGGGGGGCGGACGCATGCGGGCGGTAGCCACTTGGGCCTACGGTGGAGCTCCCTAGGGGGCCACGAAGCGCTGTACTGGGTGGGGGGGACGCATGCGGGCGGTAGTCACTTGGGCCTTCGGTGGAGCTCCCTCTGGTGCCACGAGAAATCGTACTGAGTCGGCGAAGCGCAGGGAGGACGGAGGAGGGGGAGGAGGGAGGAGGGCGAGGAGGAGGGAGGACGGAGGAGGAGAACGCGGGGACCGTATCTTCAAAACGAGGACCCAGCACCACAGGGTGGTTGGAACAAACGAAAGTAAATTCGTGCCTGTAATCACTGCACCTCGCGGTGTTTCGGCTCCAGCGGGCGGCCGACGGCGCAACGCCCCCCTGGCCCGGGCTGCGCCGATGGCGGACCTGCGGGATGTCCTGGAGGAGGTCAGGGCCTTCGACAAGGAGGGGGAGGGCGAGATCACGAGAGAGGCCTTCGCCAGGCTGCTGCGGCACGTGGATAAGGGCGCGTGGCGCAAGAAGGACGTCGACGCGCTTCTGGGCGCCTTCCAGCCGAGCAACGGCACGCAGAAACTGCCTTATGCCGAGCTCTTCCGCTGGCTTTTTAACGCGGATTCCCAGGACCCATTCGACAACATCGTGATGCTCACTGACTCCTACAAAGTGACCCACCACCTGCAGTATCCTCCGGGCACACAGACGGTCTACTCGTATTTCGAGTGCAGGGGCGGCCAGTTTCCAGAGGTCTGTTTCTTTGGCTTATCCAGCTGCCTTCGGCAACCCCCACTATGCCATCGCAGGGAAGCAGGGGAGGAGGTTGAGTTTGCGTAAAGCCCTCTCCAGTTCAGTGTCCTGTCTGAGCTGGCGCGCAACTGGCATCCTGTTCGCAGCCTCGTTTTCCTCCTCATCCTTCCTCATTCTCCTCCTCCTCCTCCTTTTCCTCCTCCTCCTCCTCCTCCTCCTCCTTCTCCCCACCTCCCTCCTCCTCATCCTTCCTCATTCTCCTCCTCCTCCTCCTTCTCCTCCTCCTCCTCCTCCTCCTCCTCCTGCTCCTCCTCCTCCCCACCTCCTCCCTCCTCCTCCTCCTCCTCCTCCTCCTCCTCCTTCTCCTCCTCCTCCACCTCTTCCTCTTCCTCCTCCCCCTCCTCTCCTCCTCCTCCTCCCTCCTCTCCTCCTCCTCCTCCTCACCTCGTCCCTCCTCCTCCTCTTCCTCCTCCGCCTCCTCCTCTTCCTCCTCCTCCTCCTCCTCCTCCTCCTCCTCCTCCTCCTCCTCCTCCTCCTCCTCCTCTCCTCCTCATTCTCCTCCTCCTCCTTTTCCTCCTCCTCCTCCTCCTCCTCCTCCTCTCTTCTCCCCACCTCCATCTTCCTCATCCTTCCTCATTCTCCTCCTCCTCCTCCTTCACCTCCTCCTCCTCCTCCTCCTCCTCCCTCCTCCCTCCTCCTGCTCCTCCTCCTCCCCACCCTCCCTCTCCTCCCTCCTCCTCCCTCCTCCTCCTCCTCCTCCTCCTCTTCCTCCTCCTCCTCCTCCCTCCTCCCTCTCCTCCCTCCTCTCCTCCTCCTCCTCCTCCTCCTCCTCCTCCCTCACCTCCTTCCTCCTCCTCCTCCTCCTCCTCCGCCCTCCTCCGCCTCCTCCTCTTCCTCCTCCTCCTCCTCTTTCCTCCTCCTCCTCCTCCTCCTCCTCCTCCTCCTCCTCCTCCTCCCTCCTCATCCTCCTCCTCCGCCTCCTCCTCTTCCCCTCCTCCCTCCTCCTCCTCCTCCTCCTCCTCCTCCCTTTCCTCCTCCTCCTCCTCCTCCTCCTCCTCCTCTGTCCTCCATGTTGACCATTGACGGCGTATCGGAGCCTTTTCGGGTGCATTTCTGAGGCTTCTTAAGGGGCCTTTTGCGAGCCTCTTGAAGCCCTCCTGGGGGCCTGTTGGGTCCCGTTGGGGGCCCGTCGGGGGTCTCGGGGCCGTCTGGGGCGCGGCGGTTCTGCCGAATGGTCCCAGAAAGGCCCGGTTGAGCTATCCCGCGGAAGTTTGGCGTGGCATCGCTCGGACGTGTGCATTTTTCCTTCGGCGAGGACCTTGATCATTTGGAGCATCCTTGATCATTTAGCGAAAAACACGCACGAAACCGAAAAAGGCACAGGGAATGGACGTCCGGGCGATGGCGAGTTGGGCGGGTTTGGGGGGGGGCTTGTAGGGGTGGCATGTGGGAATTCTCTGGCAGTCTTGGGGCTGCCTCGTGCGGCCGTCTTGGGCTGCCTGGTCCCGAGGCGATCTGGACCCAAGAAGCTCCGGAAACAAAACACGACGGTGTCTTTGATGCAGCTTTTGTTTGCTTCTTCGGGTCTCGTTCCGGGGCCTCTATGGGCATCTCTTGATTCTTCTCGAGGACATCGTGGGCACATGGGAGGGTCGTTGAGCCGTCCTGGGCTGGTCTCGGGACATATTACGGCCAGTCTGGGCCTGTTTGGAGCCGCTTGTTCGCCGAGAAGGACAGGGAAGCAATCCTATGGGTGGCGAGTTGCGAACCGGTTCTGCCCCGAGGGGGTCGGGGCGGCCCCAGAAAATCACAGAAACCCGATTCACAAGCACTTATCGTTCTAGCACCCCACAAATGTGCAAATGCATTGGCGGACAGTATTTTATCAAAAGGTATCTGACAGGGGTCGTGGTGACCATGGAAAAAATTGATGCCGCCGAGGAGTATTTCAAGAAGCACTTCTTTCAGCCTGAGTGGGGCTACGATCCGAAGCTGTTTAACCGTGCGGGCTGGGAGCACATCGTATCGAAGCACGGGGGCTGCTTGCCGGTCAGCATCAAGGCTGTACCCGAGGGCACGGTGCTACCTTACAAAAACGTTCTGTTCACGATGGAGAACACAGACCCGGAGTGCTATTGGCTCACGAACTATCTGGAGTCCTTGCTCGTCCAGGTTTGGTACCCCACGACTGTTTGCAGCCAGGGACGTGCGATGAAGAAAATCATCACAAAGTACCTCCGGGAGACTGGATGTGGAGGTGCGATCGACAGGGGAAGCCACGTTCTCAAGCTCCATGATTTCGGTTTCCGTGGTGTCTCGTCCGTGGAGTCGGCAGGTCTGGGTGGCGGCGCCCACCTCGTCAATTTCAGGGGCACTGACACGCTGGCTGCCCTGACGATGCTGAAGGAGTTCTACTCGGAGCCCTGCGCAGGGAGTTCCATTCCGGCCTCCGAGCACAGCACGATGACCACCTGGGGCAGAGAAGGCGAGCTCGACGCAATGAGGAATATGCTGCAGAAGTACCCCACGGGTTTCGTCGCCTGCGTCAGTGACAGCTACAACATATTCGACGCCTGCAGCAACATCTGGGGGGACGCTCTGAGGGCGACGATCGAGAATCGCGAGGGCACTCTGGTCGTTCGCCCGGACAGCGGGGAACTGCCAAAGACTGTCCTCGAGGTGCTCCAGGTGCTGGAGAACAAGTTCGGGTCCACGACCACCCACACGGGGCACAGGCTCCTGCCACCGTACATCCGCGTCATCCAGGGAGACGGCGTGGACATCGAGTCACTGGCGCGGGCCTCAGGCGAGCCTTCGCTGGGTCGCCCAGGTCCGCCAGATCATCGTCAGAGGCGGAAGAGATGCCGATGCCGCTGCTCGTCCTGGAGAATCTTCGTCACCACGGCTGGATTCTCCTCGACATGTGAGCGAGAAGGCAGCCCTTCGGAGGTCGTGTAGGCGATATCAGTATAGTGGAGACACATGCCAAGACACACCATGTTTGCCTCCAGGGTGCCCTGGTTTTCGTGGATCTCGATGGTTTTGCGATGGAGAGCGCGACGTCCCCACACCAAACATCGATGGACGTCCTGGGGTCTTAAGGTTTGACTTCTTGTGGAAGGTGTCTGGCCTGCGTGCAGGCGATAAACAGCACTTTCTTTCAAGGGAGAAAAATACCACCTGGACCCGATCATCGGCGTTTACTAAACGGCTCTTGGCGTTTAGTACATAGCCTTGCCCGGTTCAATTCCTTCCTTGGGGGCGTTTGCTAAACGGCTTCACTTGCCGGGGTGTTTATCATAGGTGTGGATCAGTTTCTGTTCGCAGTGAGTTGTCCACTTCACTGCTCGCGCAAACGTCCCACCCACCCACCCGCAACTTGGGGTTTGCAAACCCCATGTGGGCGCGATTGCGATGAGTGTTTGGCGCTGGCTGGTACATTTTTGCGGCCGCGCCAGCCCGCGCATGCGTGCGCGCGCGCAGCGGCCAGGTAGTTTGGCGCGACCGACGCGGCCGCGGTGGTGCTGACCGCTCGGCACATCCAGGCGGGCACTTGAGTGCGAATTGGCGACGTGGGCGGGCGCGGTATCATGGCAACGTCGACACTTGTAGACACGATGATGCTAGTAGCGATGTTAGTGACGATGTTGACAGCGACGACGGCACGGCCAGTGACGGCGCCGATGCCGATCACGCCGCCGACGATGACGGCGTCTTCGCGTCGGTGCTGAAGGCTTTGGAAGGAATTCGAAATGCGCGCGCGGCAGACGCGCGAGAGTGGTTCGCATGGTGTTTTTTGTTGACACGGATTGTACCACCACGCGCGCAAGGGCGTTCGAACGATTTCGACATGCGCTCACGGAGCCCTTTTTGTAGCATTTGATGAAATGATGAAACTTTTTTTGTTAAAAAAAAGAAACAAAAAATATCGCAATAGCGCGCGCACGCTTTTGTTGAACATCCGTGTTGCGAAACCCCATGTTTATGTATGTTTCTTGGACACTCGATTTTTAATTCCGTCCGAAACTGAACGTTTTTGAAGGATTCCAGCATGCGCACGCAACGACGCGCGCGCGTGCATTTCGTAAGTTTTTTGGCAAAGGATTCTCGCGACGGCACGCACGCCAGGGCGTTCGAACGATTTCGACATGCGCGCGCGGAACCCGTCGGATAGCATTTTCTGGACATGTTGAAAACCAGTGGTTTTCTGAAGAACAAAAGCGCGCGCATTTCGTATTTTTTGGCAAGGGGTTCTTGAAATCTTATGGTTTTTGATCAACGAGTGTGCGTACATAGTTTTTTGCAGAGGATGGGGGGGCGATGCCTGTTTAGCTGGGACAGTATGACTTCACAGGTCGGATGGACATTGGGTTAGCTTTTAACTCCGTGGGGGGGGTAGAACTTATTTTTTTGGACAAGAGAATTTTCTGCTCTCTATTCCTGCTCCCCCAGACCTGGCCGACCCGAGCGGGGTCGGGGCGGGTCGACGAGGGCCCCCAGTCGGCAGAGCGCTTCCGGCCTCGGCGGGGCTCCAGGGCGGATCGGGCCGGTTCTGGGGCGGCGGCGGGGTCGGTCACGGGGGCCAGCCGGGGCGCGATGGTGCGATCGGATTGTGTACGGAAAGCGCCGACTGGACGCACGAGTGGCCTTTCGCCGGAGTGTCTTTTGGTGCGGGCCCAATGGGGTCCCCCAATCGCTGAGCGCGCGAAGCCGTAGCGGCGGCTTGCGCGCCCGTGTTTGGCCGCCCCGCGTCCCCCGTTAGGCCGCGCACCAAAGGTCACTCTTACCCAGGGTCACTCTTACGTGTAGCCGAAATGAGGTGTACGGCCGCTGAGGATAAAAGAGCCCCTAACCCTGATAAGACGATGAAGACGTGGCCTCGCTGAGGTCCCCGTCTTTGCATAAGGGATGTCAGATCAGAGCAGTTTGGTTCGATACAGCTGCAGAAAAGAGCCCCTATCCCTAATGTTCCAGGCCCTCCCAACTTAGGTCCCCTCCCAAAGGGTTAGGGGTTATCTGATGCCTAGTCGTACGAAGACCGACAGCAGCGCTGGTTCATTTCGAACAGAACTCGCTGTCGGCGTCGCCGCGTGCGTTGTCACTTGGGACAGAGTGGCCTGCCCAACAGCGGCCGCTGTCGGTTTGGTACAACATGTGCGGTTGGTCATTCTCGATGGGGTCCGAGTAGATGGGGTCGGTGGATCGCGCCGCATCGCCGATGCATCGACGATGCGGCTCAATGCGGAGCTTAATTTTCTCCACGACGACGTCGGCGACGCATCGCCGATGCATCGCCGATGCATTGGCGATGCGGCGCGATCCTCCGACCCCGTCTACTCGGACCCCACCTAGGAGGCCTCTAGTCATGGTGCCCGTGTTCTCGTTTCTTTTCTTCGGGCGTCCAGCAACCTGGATTCGGGAGGGGGTGCTGCAGCCTGCGCGAGGGTGCAGAACGGCCTCGCAGATTGGCCTCTGCTGCGGATCGGAACGGGGGAATCCAGGCCGCCCGGGCGCGATCCGGAGCCGAAGTTTTCCGATGCTGACGTCGCGAGTACATCGCCGATGCGGCTGTGCGATTTGATCCTCCGACCCCACTTGTACGACCTCCAGGGCACCCTCATGTTCTGCGCGTTTGGACTCTTCCGCTGCGGCCTCCGTCTTCGCAGTGTAGCGTTCCCTGTTTCAGGGCCTGGCCGTTTTCCTTCTCAGCCGCCACTGTGTTTTTTGAGAGTTGAATTGCCCTGCTGGCAAAAACATCGTGTTTTGAGCTCTTCGTGTTTGCGGTGTCTTGGGCCCTCGGCGACGGGGCTTATGGTCTCGGCTCGCGTTCTTGTGGCCATGTGTCGATTGTGCTGAGGAGAAGACCCTGAAGGAGATGCGCAAGGAGATGTGGGCTGCCGATAACCTGGCGTTCGGCAGCGGGGGGGCGCTGCTACAGAAGATGCACCGGGACACACAGAAGTGCGCGTTCAAGTGCTCCTACGCTCTCATCAACGGAAAGGACGTAGACGTGGTCAAAGATCCCATCACCGACCGGGGCAAGCGGTCGAAGAAGGGCAGGCTCACGCTGGAGTTAGTAGACGGCACGTGGACGACGGTCACGGAAGGCAATGGCGACCCGAATTACGACCATTTGGTGGAGGTGTTCCGCGACGGACGCTTGCTCGTAGATGATACTTTGGAAGCCATCAGGATGCGCTCGGACGGGTCCCACGTGCCTTCGAGACCTGTCTCGCAGGCTTTCGGCGTGAGCGGGGACCTCTTTAGCAACATCATAATGCTGACAGACTCGTACAAGGTCACGCACCATGTGCAGTACCCCCGCAGCACCGAGACGATCTACTCGTATCCAGCTGCCCTCGGCAAATTCCGTCACCGTTCCCGCGCAGCAGCGCGGACGGGATGGTTTTGAGTTCAAGATCTGCTCCAGTTCAGCTCCCTGTCTGTTTTGCGCGCAGGTGAGTGCTTGATCTTCCTCGTCCTCAGCCTTGTCGTCGTCGTGGTTGTCCTCCTCCTCCTCCCATCCTGCATCGCTCCTCAGCTTCTTCCCCCCTCCTCTCACGAGGAAGCTCCTCCCTCCCAAGGTCTGACTTGGCGCGGGTGTCGATCTCCACCTTGTTTTTTTTTTTTTCTCCCGGGTCCACAGCCTCCTTCTCATCATCTGTCTTCACTCCTCATCACGATCCCCCTTCTCCCAACAGTTGGTCTGGCGTGGGTCTCAAACTCCATCGAGCTTTCATCCTCCTCTCCAGACTGTATGCGTTTCATCCGAAAATAAAGCACGTCGAGGCAGACGATGATAACAATGATCATATCGATGCCACGGTGTCAGCAGCGCAGCAGGATGGATGTTGAGTCTCGGATCTGCTACAGTTCAGGCAGTGCGCTGAAGTGGAGCTGGTTTTGAACACAGCCTCCTTGCCCACACCCTGGTTCCCCTCCTTCCTCATCTTTCCTCGTTCTGTTCCCTCTCCTTCATCCTCCCTCAGATAGTTTGGCCCCGCGCGGCCCCGCAAGCCGTTGCCCTGCGGCGGATGCCCGCCTCGCGCCACAGGCCCCCCCAGCCCCAGGCTGCTGCCTGGCGCGTCGCCGCTGCTGTCCGGGCACTCCGCCTGGCGTCGCTGCGGCACACTGGAGCTTGGCATCACCGTCCTTGGTTCTGCACGGGGTGGCAGCAGGCTGACTGCGCCTACCAGCGTCCCAGAGAGCACTTTTGCGCACACACGACCTTTGAGGCGTCATCGTCCCCTTCCTCCGCATCCTCCTGCGGATCCTAGTCCTCCTTCTCCTCTACTTTCTCCTCCCGCTCATCCCACTCTTCCTCCCCTCCGCTTTCCCTTTCTTCTTGCCCTCGTCGTTGTCCTCGTCGTCACAGCCGTCGCCCGCGTCGAGTTCTCACGACAGGGTGACTTGGGCGGTCGCCAAGGGGGCGGGTAAATCAGCAGTTGGCCCAAACGCACGAGCTGCGAAAAATCGGGTGTGGTGCCACATTTGCGGCGTCATGAGCGAGTAGATTTGGCCACTGGCCCGAACCTGCTCCGAGAGATTGCTGTCGTCGTCGGGGGTGCGTTGGCTGATCTGCGCCCTGAGGCCCAGACGGCTTCGTCGTCCTCGTCGCCGCCGTCGCCCTCCTCGTCGCTTCTCTCCAGACGCCCTCGCAGTCGTCCCCCTAGTTCGCGCGTCTTGCTTCGGTTAGGCGTCGCAGCCGCGCGTCCCGTACGAGAGTCGGCTTGCGCTGGACGCGTTCGTGGACTCAGCGCTTGCCGTCGCCAGCCGATCCGTGAAGCGTCGATCTCCAGGCTCTGTGGCCAGGCACTTTCTCTTCCCGGCGCGAGAGTGGAGCCCTGCGCGTGCGTGCTCCCCGTGCCGCTTCACTCCTTGTCAGCCCCCGCCCCCCTCTCGCCATGCATCTCTGCACCGTGCCTGCCGCCGCGGTTCGAGATCTCTGCGCTGGGAGTTCGGCGGGCTTCCAGGCATCGGGCTCGTCGCGCGGCGACCCCTCGGTCCGCTGCGCACGCCCTGGCGCCCGTTGCTGGAGCGCGGCGTCCGCCAGCCACTGCCGTGTCCTCCCTCCTCCCTCTCGAAGGCCTTTTGAACGCTTCTATTGGAGACTTGGTCTCGGGCGCACTGAAGGCTCATGAGGGGGCCTCTTGGGGACCTCTCTGGGGCCCGTCTTGGGTGCCTTTAGGGGTCGGTCGGGGGCGTCCTGGGCGCGTCCTTGGGGGCGTCCCGGGCGCCTGTCGAGGCCCTCTTGAGGGCCTCTCGGGAGCATGCTGGGAGTCTGGGGGGCCATCTTGGAAGGAGCGGCTTCCAATGCCAGCTCGAATTCACCTCTTTGGCCCGTCTTGGAGCGCTCTTGGGGGCCTCTTGGGCCGGCCCCAATGCCTATTGGGTCGTCTTGGGGCCCCCGGTGGAGGCCTTTTGAGAACCATCTCGTGGCCATCTTCCGGGCCCTTGGGGTTGTCTTGGGGCGAGATCGGGCGCCTCTTGGGCCGTCTTGGGATTGCAGAAGTCCGACGAGGCGGGCTTATCACACGCACACGCACGAACCACTGAACGGGGTCGCAACGCACACCGCAAGTCAGCGCGATTTGCACGCACATCGCACATCGGCAGCACGTCTCACTGCAAGCACGCACAACCGCTCACGCACACGTCACCAGGTGAGCACACGCACGCGCACACGCCACGCACACGCACACGCTGGACGTTCGCAGCACGCCACCCTGCGCGCGCACACGCACACGCACACGCACACGCACACGCACACGCACACGACACGCGCACACGCGCACCGCACCCGCGCACAGTGCACACGCATACGCACACGCACGCGCACACGCACAAGAACACGCACAAACACGCACGCGCGCACGCGCACGCGCAACGCGCACGCGCACGCGCACACGCACGCGCACACGGACACGCGCACACGCACACGCGATCGCCCAGGATCACGCACGCACGCACGCACGCACGCACGCGCGCGCACGCACCGCGCACGCGCGCCCGGACACGCACGCGCACGCACGCGCACGCACGCACGCGCGCGCACGCACGCACGCGCACGCACGCGCGCGCGCACGCGCACGTGCACGCGCACGCACGCGCGGGCGCACGCGCATGCGCGCGCGCACGCGAACGCGCGCGCGCACGGGCGCGCCCACGCGCACGCACGCGCACGCGCACGCGCACGCGCACGCGCACGCGCGCACGCGCAAGCACACGCGCACGCGCACACGCGCACATGCCACGCACACGCACATGCACACGCGCACGCACGCACATGCAACACGCACGCACGCACACACGCACACGCACGCACAACACGCACGCGCGCACGCGCACGCGCACACGCACGCGCACGCGCACACGCGCGCGCACACGCACACGCACGCGCACGCGCACGCGCACACGCAAACGCACACGCGCACGCGCACGAACACGCACAACGCGCGCGCACACGCACACGCACGCGCACGCGCACACGCACGCGCAACGCGCACACGCGCCCGCACACGCACGCGCGCGCGCCACGCACACGCACACGCGCGCGCGCACGCCCACGCGCACGCGCACGCACGCGCACGTGCACGCGCACGCACGCGCGGGCGCACGCGCACGCGCGCGCGCACGCGAACGCGCGCGCGCACCGGCGCGCCCAGGCGCACGCACGCGCACGCGCACGCGCACGCGCACACGCGCGCGCACGCGCACACGCACGCGCGCACGCACACGCGCGCAAGCGCGCACCCGCACGCGCCCGCGCACGCGCACGCGCACGCGCACACGCTCGCGCACACGCACACGCACACCCACACGCGCACGCACACGCACGCGCAGGCGCACACGCACGCGCGCATGCGCACAACGCACGCACGCACACACGAAGCCACGCGCACCGCACACACCACACGCACTACACGCACAACACACAACACACACACATTCACTACGCACACACGCACACACACACACACGCACAAACGCGCACACGCACACACGCACACACACGCACACACACGCACGCGCGCACGCACACACACGAGCACACGCACGCGCACGCAAACGCTTGCACGCGCACGGACACGCACGCACACGCACGCGCACGCATACACGCACGCACACGCACACACACGCACGCACACACTCACACACACTCACACAAATGCATACAATGGCACACAATGGTACACAATCGCGCACAATCGCACACAATCGCGCACACTCGCACATAATCGCGCACAACCGCACGCAATTGCACACAATCGCACACAATCGCACACAATGGCACACAATCGCACACGACCGCGCACAATCGCACGCGGCCGCGCACGATCGCAAGCAACGGCGCACCATGGCGCACACTCGCACACAATGGTACACACTCGCACACAATCGCACACACTCGCACACACTCGCACACAACCGCACACAACCGCGCACAATCGCGCGCACGCACGCACGCGCGCACGCGCGCGCGCACGCGCGCACACACGCACACGCGCACACACGCACACACGCACACACGCACACGCGCACACACGCACGCACGCACACGCGCACACACGCACGCACGCACGCACGAACACACGTACTCACACGCACGCACGCACACTTGCACACTCGCACACGCGCACGCGCGCACGCACGCACACACGCGCACGCGCGCGCGCACACGCGCACACACGCACAGACGCACACACGCACACGCGCACACACTCGCACGCGCACACACGCGCACACGCACACACGGACGCACGCACACACGTACACACGCACGCACGCACACACGCACACACGCACGCGCGCACGCGTGCGCACGCGCGCACACACGCACGCACATGCGCACGCGCGCACGCGCACACACGCACCCACGCACCCACACGCGCCACGCACCACGCAACACACAACGCACGCAACACACACAACCACAACGCACGCACATGCGCGCGCGCACGCGCGCGCGCGCGCACGCACGCACGCGCGCACGCAAGCGCGCACACACGCACTCACGCACCCACGCGCCCGCGCCCACACCCACGCCCACGCCCGCGCCCGCGCCCGCGCCCGCGCCCGCGCCCGCGCCCGCGCCGCGCCCACGCCCACACCCACGCAAACACCCACGCCCAAACCCGCACCCACACCCACACCCACATGCATGCGCACACCCGCCCACACGCACGCGCGCACACACACGCGCACACACGCGCACGCACGCGCACGCACGCGTACACGCGCACACACACACACGCACACACACACACGCACACACGCACACACGCACACACGCACGCACACACGCGCATACGCACACACGCACACACGCACACGCACGCACACACACGCAGACACACGCACGCACACGCACACACACGCACACGCGCGCACACACACGCACACACGCACACACACACACGCACACACACACGCCCACGCACACGCACACGCACACGCACACGCACACGCACACGCGCACGCACGCGCGCACGCACACGCACACGCACACGCACGCGCACACGCGCGCGCCACGCACCACGCACACGCGCACACACACAACACCCACACACGCCCACACACCCACGCACACACCACACACCAACCACACACACCCACACGCACACCCACACGCACGCCCACACGAACACCCACACACATACACACGCGCACGCGCGCGCGCACGACGCGCACACGCGCACGCACGCACGCGCGCACACACGCACACACACGCCACACACGCACACGTCCACACACACATGCACACATGCGCCACACGCACGCACACGCACCCACACGCACACACACGCACCAAACGCACACGACACGCACGCGCACACGCACGCCGCAACGCACACGCACACGCACCGCACACACGCACGCACGCGCACGCACACGCGCACACGCACACGCACACGCACTCGCACGCCCACACACACACACGCACCCACACACGCACACACACACCACAACACACCACGCGCACACGCACGCACACGCGCACGCGCACGCGCGCGCACGCGCACACGCACACGCCACGCACACGCACAGCGCACGCACGCACACGGCCACACACACGCACGCACACACGCAAACGCACGTCACATGCACGCGCACAGCACATGCACGCGCACACGGACGAGCACACACACACACACGCACGCACACACACACGCACATACACACACGCACACGCACGCACACACACACACGCACACACGCACACACACACGCACACGCACACGCACACGCACACGCACGCACACGCGCACACACGCACACGCACACGTACGCGCACACACACAGGCACAGACAGACACAGACACAGACACAGGCACAGACACAGACACAGACACAGACACAGACACAGACACAGACACAGACACAGACACAGGCACAGGCGCAGACACAGACACAGGCACAGACACAGACACAGACACAGACACAGGCACAGACACAGACACAGACACAGACACAGGCACAGACACAGACACAGACACAGAGACAGACACGCAGACACAGACACCCAGACACAGACACCCAGACCCAGACACCCAGACCCAGACCCAGACCCAGACCCAGACCCAAGACACAGACCCAAGACACAGACACAGACACAGACACAGACACAGACACAGACACAGACACAGACACAGACACAGACACAGACACAGACACAGACACAGACACAGACACTGACACTGACACAGACACAGACACAGACACAGACACAGACGCAGACACAGACGCAGACACAGACGCAGACACAGACGCAGACGCAGACGCAGATGCAGACGCAGATGCAGACGCAGACGCAGACGCAGACGCAGACGCAGACGCAGACGCAGACGCAGACGCAGACGCAGACGCAGACACTTACGCTGACGCAGACGCAGACGCAGACGCGGACGCAGACGCAGCCGCAGACGCACGCGCACGCGCACGCGCACGCGCACGCGCACGCGCACGCGCACGCGCGCACGCGCACGCGCGCACGCGCACGCGCGCACGCGCGCACGCGCGCACGCACGCACGCACGCACGCACGCACCCACACAAACACACGCACGCACGCACGCACGCACGCACACACGCACGCGCGCACGCACGCACGCACGCGCGCAACAACAACAACAACAACAACAACAACAACAACAACAACAATCATTTTACCCGAACGCGTGGTGTTCTCCCCAGTGCCAGGGTTTTCATACGACACCAGGCAATACCCCCACTTCGTGGGGGGGCATTACAAGCTCTACCAAATATCCAAACGACTCTTCGCGACCACCCAAACCCAGCTTCCCGCCCTATGACGTTGGGACACTTCACTTCGTGGCGTGCGGACGACCGTGGCTACTACACTGGCGTGGGGTACACACCCACAGAACTTGGTCACTTATTCGGGGCGGTGTATGTCCCGCAAAAAAACGAATCTGTCCCGCATGGTATTATTTGACAGGGATGATGGCCCTGGCAGGTGCGCAACCGTTGTCGCAGAAGTTCGAAAAAGTTGCTCGCAAAAGCCCGTTTGACAGAAATGTTTAAAAAGTGTTGGTTTTCCTACGAATCCGCAAGAGCGCGCGGGATGAGATTTTGACATTTTTTTTTGTTGAAAAACCATTGGTTTTTTGATGTTTTTATGTTAAAATCGCTCCGAACACTAAGCTTTTGGAAGGATTTCGTCTTGCGCGCGCGAATGTCCACTTTACCTTATTTTTTGCAAGGGATTCTTGAAATTTGATTATATTAGAACAAGAAATGTCATTTTATAGTGTTTTTTGCAAGGGAAAACGGATTACAACAAAACAACCGGATCTTGATCACCTCGAATTACCTGAGGCTTCCTCACGAAAATGATGAAAATGTGGCTGCGGCCTAGGCGCGGCGGGGGGGGCGCGCACCAGGGGGCCCAACAATAATTATTCTTTAGAATTAATAATGTTCAACAACAACAACAACAACAACAACAACAACAACAACAACAACAACAACAACAACAACACACACACGCACCCACACGCATCCACACGCACCCACACGCACCCACACGCACCCACACGCACCCACACGCACCCACGCGTACACACGCCCACGCACGCCCACGCGCACCCACGCGCACCCACGCGCGCCCGCGCGCACCCACGCGCACCCACGCGCGCCCATGCGCCCCCACGCACCCCCACGCACCCCCACGCACACCCACGCACCAAATCACCCACGCACCCACGCACCCACGCGCCCACGCACCTCCGCACCTCCGCACCCCCGCGCCTCCGCATCCCCGCGCCTCCGCACCCCCGCGCCCCCGCGCGCCCGCGCGCCCGCGCCCCCGCGCCCCCGCGCGCCCGCGCGCCCTCGCGCCCGCGCACACCGCAGCAACACCGCCTCGCCCGCGCCCAGCCGCACCCACCCCCTCCTATGCCCCCCCGCCCCCCCGCGCTACTTCCCCACCCCGACCTGCGCCCCCCCCGCCCCCCCGCGCCCCTTGCTCCCCCGCGCGCCCGGCCCTCCCAGCGGCTTTCCGCCCCCCGGCCCCCCCCCCCGCGCCGCCCGCCCCTCCGCCCCCTCCGCGCCTCTCGCCCCCCGCCACTCGCGCGCCCGCCCCGCAGCATCATCACCGCCGCCTCGCTCCAGCCCGCCCGCCTCCTCGCCCCCCCCACCACCTCGCCCCCCTCTCCTCCGCCACCCCGGCCCCTTCATTCTCCCACTTCCCCCCGCCCTCCGCCCCCGCAGCGCGGGCCTCATCCCGCGCCCCTCCGCCCTCCGTGCCCCCCCCGCTTCGCGCCGCGTAACCCCGCAGCGCCCCCCACCCCGCCCCCCCTCGCCCCCCCCCCCCCCCCCTCCTCCACCCCGCGCGCCCCTGCCCCCCCGCCGCAGCCCGACGCCCCTCCCCCCATCGCCCCTTCGCGCGCCCGCGCGTCCTGTCCGCGCCCGCGCCCCCGGCCCCCCCCCGCCCCCCTGCACCCCCTGCACCGCGCCCCCCCCCCCCCCCCCCCCCCCCCCCTGCCCCGCTCCGCGCCTCCACCCCCGCGCCCCCGCGCACCCCGCCCCCCCTTGCGCCCGTTGCACCCCCGCGCCTCGGACCCCCCGCGCCCCCGCGCCCCCCGTCCCCACTCCTCCGCGCCCCCGCGCCCCCGCAGCCCCCACAGCCCCGCGCCCCCGCGCGCCCCCGCCCCCGCGCCGCCACGCCCCCGCACACCCGCACACCCACACACCCACGCCCCCACACATCCGTAGCCAATTTGGCTCAAGTCCGGAGCGTTTCGCCCAGGCGTTGCTCGTGGGAGCCGCGGCCCACGCCATTGCGCGCTCTCCGAGCGCAGCTTCTTTGGGCTTTTATGCGTAATGTATTGCGGTTTCATCCCGCGCGCTCTTTGCGCGCTTACTTCGCGCCCATGCTTTTTTGGCGGTGCTCAGTCTGTCGCAAGCATGTCCCGCAGAACAAGAAGTTCTACGCGAAGTGCGGCTGCACTGGTTGCCGCGGCGCCCCGCCGCAGCAGCAGCCAGGCGGGAATGCGCGCGTGCCCGGTGGGCGCTGGGCTAACGGGCCCCCCGTTGGACCGCCATGGCAGCGCGCCCCCAAACCGCCCCAGGCCGGGGGGGCTGGGGGCAGGGGCGGCGGAGGCCAGCAGCCCCAGGGTTACTCACTCTCCGAGGGCGAGCTGCAGCTCTACGTCGGGATGGAGCCCGCCCTGTGGGAGGCGACCGAGGTCCCGCTCTCGCGGAGCTCCCGGGACAAGGTCGAGCACCTCCGTCGGGTCAAGGCTTGGGGGCTGGAGCTGGTCACCGACGGCGCCAGCGCCTCCAAGCTCGTGGACAAGCTCGCCAGGCGGGTCTTCGATGCCCAGGCGCAGCTCACCCGCGACACCGAGGCGGCCGCCAAGGCCATGCTCCAGCTCAGCATCACGAAGGAGAAGGTGCAGAAGCTGGAGGCCGAGCTCGAGGAGGCCCGCAAGCAGGCGGCCGTCGCCTTCGCGCCCGCCCATTCCGACGCCTCCTTCACCACCTTGCAGGAGCAGATCGCCAAGCTCAAGGCCGACCTTGCCATGGCGCAGAAGTCGGCAGACGAGGTCTTCGCCGCCGTCGCTGCTACCGTCGACGGCTTCTGCAAAGCACAGGCCCCGCCTCCTGCCCCTGCGCCCGCGGCCGCCTCCGGCGCAGGCGACGGAGGCACCCCGATGCACGGGGTTCAGCGCGAGCAGGAGAAGCCACCCGTCGGCGACCCGTTTGATGCGTTCATGGGCAGCGATGACCCTGGCGGCCTGGTGTCTTCCTCTGGCGAGGCCGGCAGCGAGGAGCGCAAGCGCATGGCAGAGGCGCTGGCCCTCCTACGGGGCGCCAATCAAGCGGCGCAAGGTCCAGCCCAACGTTTAGCCGCCAGCGCAGGCGGACTTGGCGTGGGCTGACCCTCAACACGAATGCGTACTCTACATTCGTAGGCTTGCTCGGGCTGTCGGAGGTCCGCACCTGCGATTTCGCGGGCGTCCAGGAGACTCACTAGACGGGCGAGCAGGCCCGAGACTCAGCCGCTCAGTTGGTCAAGCTGGGCTGGCGCGCCCATGCGCTAGCCGCCAGCGGCGCCGGCCATGGGCACCCCGGCCACGGCGGGCTGCTGCAGCTCGCGCCGCGGCAGCATGGGCTCGCGCCATTCGAGCACCTGGGCGTCGACTCGGGCATGCTTGTCGAGGGGCGCATCGGCTTCGTTCACCACGGCGGCCTGGTACCAGGCGGCTTCGCATGGTTTAACGTGCACCTGTGCACGGGCGAGGGCCTCTCGGCCGCCAACCTGGAGCTGCTGGACCTCGTCGCCAAGGCCGCCCTCGCCATCGGCGAGCCCTTCATCGTCTCGGGCGACTTCAACCTGAGCCCGGCGGACCTGGCCTCCAGCGACTTCTTCGCGAAGACGCGGGCGCCCGCCATCGCGCCATGCGTCGGCGCCTGCCGACCTGCCGAGAGCACGTGCGACTACTTCGTAGTATCGTCGTGTTTCGCCCATGCACGGGCCACCGCCCTGATGGATCGGCCCTTCTATCCGCGTCGGCCCGTTCTCCTCGAGATCGACTGCGCCGACGGCCCCACGACCGCCCAGGTTATGACCACGCCCAAGAAGCTCCCGAGGCCGCTGCCCCTCGGATGCTGTAGCCGCGACCACGCGGCCGCCTGGGTAAACACCCGCGACGCCATCGCCGAGGCCAGCATCACCGACGAGGCATGGCAGGCATTTATCACCATGACTGAGACCAATATTTTGGACAAGTGCGGCCTGGCCCACGACGCCTCCTACGCGGGTCGCGCCCAACGGCCGCGCCTGCGCCAGGCTGCTGCGGCCGCGCCGTCGCCGCCCAGACTGCCCAAGGTATCCGCGGCCACGTCCTGGATCAAGTCCTGGTCCTTGGCAGCGCGCGACGCTTGACACTGGGGCAAACCGATGGTTCGCCTGCGCGGCTTGCGAGCCTTGGGCCGCCTCCAGAGGCAGGCCTCGGCCCCTTCGAGTTGGTGCCAGACCCTGCAGTTCCTGGGTGCGGCCTTCGCTTACTTGACGCCGACGGCCGCCGAGGCCTGCAGCGCCGTCAGCACCAAGTTGGCCGACCTGGGAGTCCAGAGCGACCTGCGCGACGTGAGGCAGCGCTTCGGCCAGTGTGTCGACGAGCACGCTGTGTACGGCTCTGGGGCCCTGCACGCTTTCACCAAGGTCCCGCTCGGTTGGCAGCCGAGCGCCGCCCTCGCCGGCGCTGCCGGCAAGCCTGGGGTAGCGGGGCCCTCGGCCCCACGTTTGCCGGGCGATGCCGGCGCGCCAGCGCCGCCGGGCCCGCGGGCCTTTCCGGGGCGGTCGAGGCGCTCGTCCAGGAGTGGTCGCTCTATTGGAACGTCGGCAAGCCCCACGAGGCCCCCGTCTGGCCCGACGATTTGGGGCCCAGGCCCGCGCGGCCCTCGGTCGACGATTTGCGCGGCGTCTTCAGGTCCTTCCCCGAGATGTCGGGGTCCGCATTCGACGCCTTCTGCCCCTGGGATTTCCAGGCGCTGGATGACATAGGCGTGGAGGCCCTCATAGACCTCCTCGTGCAGATCGAGGCCTCCTGCCAGTGGCCCGCCTTCATCACGAAGCTCGTTTTCATCCCGAAACGGGAAGGGGGCGTTCGCCCCATCGCACTGCTCGCCGCCCTCGTCAGGGTCCACGGCCGCCTCCGACGGCCTATCGCAGCAGCCTGGGAGGCCGAGCACCAGCGCGGCTACTGGTGGACCACCTCGGGCAAGAGCTGCGACCGGGCGGCATGGCAGCAGGGGGTCTGGGCAGAGTGGGCGCGAGCCCAGGCGCGGCTCCATCCCAACCAGGATTGGAGCTCCGCCACGGCCCTGCTTGACCTTTGGAAGGCCTTCGAGCAGATTCAGCACCGGCACCTGGTGCGCGCCGCTCAGGGGTACGGCTTTCCCCTTTGGCTCCTAAGACTCCAGACCGAGCTACACGAGCTCCCGAGGGCCCTTGTGTTGGAGGGCGTCGCGAGCGACCTCCTCGAGGTCGAGCGGACCGTCCTCGCCGGCGACGCCTTCGCCACCTCGTTCGTCAAGCTGATGCTCGTCGGGCCCATGGACGCCGTGATGGAGCGAAACCGCACCATCAGCGCTGCTATTGTCATCGACGACCTCGTCTTTCAGAGGGTCGGCGGCGAGCAGCGCGTCGTCCGCGACCTCACCGCGGCCACCGCCTGCGTGGCGCGCGAGCTGCAGCGGGTCGACATCCGCGTTGCCACCAAGAAGTCCGTTGTGCTTGGCAGCTCATCGACGATTCGCACGGCCCTGGCCGCCAAAGGTGTGCGGCGCTCGGGCCGTTGCGACGACTCGCAACCTCGGCATTGACTTTAGCGAAGGCAAGCGGGCAGCCCAGGCCGTGCGTGCTAACCGCCTGGCCAACGCGCGCGCTCGCGTCCAGCGAGCGCGCAAGCTACTGGGCAAGAGTGCAAGGAGGTACGCAGCAGCCCGCATTGCCAAGAGCGGACTCGAGGCGGGCTATACCTACGGCGCCAACGTCACGGGGCTGAATCAGAGCCAGTTGAATGAGGCGAGGTCCATAGCTTGCCGCGCGGTCGAGCCGGGGCCCGTCGGCAAGTCCAAGACCGCCATTCTTATGGCCTTGGACGCGACGTACGACCCGATCTACAAGGCGACTTGCGCCCCGCTGCACACTCTCAGCCGCGCCCTCTGGGAAGGGTGGATGCCCCGGCGCGTCCTCGACATTGCTTTCACCTTCGCCCGTGACCACGTCAAGTGCTGGGGCCAAGTCGTTGGACCCCTGGGCGCCGCCCTCCTGTCCATGCGGCGCATTGGCTGGGGCGCCATGGCCCTTGGGGAATGGGTGCTGCACGACGGCGCAACTTTCCGCCCCGGCGATTTCTCGCCGTGGTACGTCCAGCGCCTGGTGCTTCGCGGCTGCGAAGCGTGGCAGGCCGCGCAGTTTTCGGCGGACTTCCCCTGGATCGAGGGCCGCATGTTTGCCGGCAGTTTGCGGCGATGGTTCCGCGTCGGCCGCGGCTCCTCGAAGGCGGCCCGCCAGTGGGCCAGCCCCTCTCCCCAGGAGCGGGGGTGCGCCCGCTCGGCGTTCGTGGGAGGCCAGTGGACCAACTTTCGCAAGTACCACAACACGCCTGCGTATTCGTTTACGCCCTTCTGCAGCGTCTGCCCGCAGGAGCCCGGCACGTTGTTTCACGGGAGCGTCTGCTGCGAGAGCCAGTGGGGGGACCTCGAGCTGCCTCGGGAAATCGCCCTCCTCAAGGCGCACGGCTCCAGCGAGATCGTTGTCGGGCTTGTCGAGCGCCTAATCTTTCCCGAGCCTCTGTCGGCCTGGAGGCCTCCCGCAGGGGGGCTGCTCGATTTTGTCGAGCACCCTGTGGGCTCTGGCGACCCCTTCTACAGCGGCGCGCTCTATTCTGATGGCGCGGCCTACGACGCCGACATTCCCGACTGCACTTTGGCGGCCTGCGCCGTCGTCCAGCCTGTAGGCGACGTCGGCGCCGACGGCGGCGTCGGCGACCCTGGGCCACGGTCGTCGGCAGCAGTGGCAGGGTCCCCTGTCGATGGACCCTGGCAGTCCATCGACGGAGCGGAGTTGTTTGCGGTGCCCCATCGCCCTCCGTTTTTCCATCCCGCCCATCACGATGTGCATTGACGCTAGCTTCGTGGTCGACGGCCTGCTGGCGAGAGGTCGGGGCCGCGCTACGTCCGCCACCTCTGCTTGGGGCCACCTGGGCCGAGGTCTGGCGTGCCCTGGGCGACTTCGGCGGACTCGGCCCCGCAGGCCTGACCGTCCACAAGCTGAAGGGCCACGCGACGCTGGAGGACGTCGCCAACCGAGTCTGCACGGCGCGGCAGCGCCGCGGGAACGTCGAGGCCGATTACTGGGCCAAGCGCATAGGCCGCCCGTGGACTTTGCCTGACGTCGATCGCCGCCGGCATCATCAGGCTGCGTTGGTCCTTGACGGAGTCACCCACTGGGTGGGGCGAGCTGGAGCGCTGGCTGGCGCTGCCAGGGCCGACTCCATGTTGGACTACAGGCGGCCTGGCGCGATGCCGAAGGTGCAGCTCTCTCTTACCGAAAACGAGTTCGAGACTTACGACGATGGCAGCATCCGGCGCTCTCGGCGCTTGAGGTCCGCACGGGCCGCTCTCTTTAAGCGCGTGCTCTTTTCGCTCCTGTGCGTGCCCAGGCTGGTTGTCTCTGGAGCCAAGAGGAGACCGAGCGCTGCTTCCTCTGGCGCTGCCGCAGCCGCGCTCGCAGCCGCCGCCGGCCTGCTCGCTGCCGCGAGCGAACCGGAGGCGGAGGCGAGCAGCCGCCAGGGATCTCCGCGGAGATCTCGTTCCCCTCGGGCACGCACGGGGCAGAAGGCTTCTTCACCCCTTGTTTCCTTCTCTTCTGCTGCCTCCTCCTCTCGGCCTCCCGCCCCTGGGGAATGCGCAGCCGCGGAGGGCGGTGGCGCCGAGGGTGGCAGGGGCGCGATCGGAGCTTCCCCCTCCCCCGCAAGCTCGCGCGAGCCTCGCCCGCAGGTCGGTGAGTCCCGCAGTGCTGCTTCAGTATTCCTGGACGCCGTGGCTCGTCGCCGCGCGGCCGCCGCTTCAGGTCCCGCCCGTCCGAGGCGGCCCGCGGCCGCCGAGGCCCCGGCCCCGCCCGCGCCGCCGCCGCCCCCGCCTGCCGCCCCCTGCGGCGACGGCGGGCCGGCAGCGGCAGCGGCGTTCGCAGTCGGGCATGTCTTGGACGAAGTGCACGGCTTCAGATTTTGTCGGCGGTGCATCTTGTATTCACGTATCCGTTTCGGCTGTGTCCGCTCTCCCGGGGAAGAGTGCAAGGGGCCGCTGAAGGGCCCAGCAGGCGACGAGAGAGCCCGTCGGATACGTCAGATTCTCCGAGGTGTGCACCCCGCCAGCGGGGCGCGCCTCACCGACTAGCCTGTTTGCTAGTCCGCGCGGCGCCCTCTCCGGTCGCCTTGCACTGCGCGCTGCGCGCAGGCCGCCCCCAACAAAAGAACAAAGAGCCCCCGCGCACTCGCGCCACCGCACCCCCCACCCCCCCACGCCCTCGCGCCCTCCCCCCCCCGCCCCCCCCCCCCCCCCACCCCCCCCCCTTCCTCCCTGCCCCCCCCCCCTCCGCGCGCCCCCCGCGCCCCCACGCACGCGCCCCTGCCCCCGCACCCCCGACCCCCCCCCCCCCCCGCCCCCGCCCCTCGCCGTCTCCCCCGTCCGCACCCCCCGCCCCCGCCCCCACGCCCCGCGCCCCCCGCGCCCCTACACCCCCGCACCCTCGAACGCCCCCCCCTCCTTCCCCCCCCCCAGCCCCCCCCCCCGCACCTTGTTCATTATTATTATGTGCCCCCACCTACCTCGTATTCCGGCCGATAGCGACCCAATCCGGGACCGTCCATCCGGATTGTAAAAAATCATTACAATTTCTCCGTTTTCTTCTGAACATCGTCTTTCTTGTCGCCGACGATGCGAAACGCGTGGCAGGAATGGGACGCGTCGCGCGTCGCGCGAGGCAGTCAATCTGGGCCCGCCCATCCTCAATGTAAGAAAAATAATACAAAATCTTTGTTTTTTTCATCTAAACATGGCCTGCCTTGTCGCCGACGGTGAGAAATATGTGGCAGCAGTGGGACGCGGCGCACATGTGGGACGCGGCGCACATCGCGCGCGGCCGTCCATCCGGGCCCGCCCATCCTGACTTTAAAAAATCAATACAAAGTTTCCGTTTTTTTCCTCTCAGCATGGTTTGCCTTGTCGCCGACGGTGCGAAATATGTGGCAGGAGTGGGGCGCGGCGCACATCGCGCGCGGCCGTCCATGCGGGCTGCGGGCCCTCCCATCCTGACCTTGTAAAAACAATGCAGAGTTGTCTTTGTTCCTTTCATCATGGCCTGTCTTGTCGTCGACGATGCGAAATGCGTGGCACGAATGGGGCGCAGCGCACATCCCGCGCGGACTTCCGGGGCAACCCCAAGGCGGGAGGGGCCACCTTAATTGTCAGAAACAATGCCATGCTGATTTTCCCTGCCCACATAGCTGTTTTGTCGCCCGCCCCGCAAAAATGCATGGCAGGAATTGGGCGCGGCACGCCCCCCCCCCCCCCCGCTCGGAGTGAATGAAATCACCTCCTCGTTTGGGCGCCGAGCGAAATTTTCTCAAAGTTGCGCTCCCGCTTTGGCTCGACGCACGTTTTTAGCTCGCCAATTCATTGGGCGCCGGGGCGTTCCAGGAGGCCCTGGGGTGACGAATGCCTGGGGGGTTTTTGCTTACTCAGGCTCTTGGAGGGCCTCCTGCAGGGGCTCCCCGCGGTTTCTTGGCGGCGTCTTCGGTCGTCAGGAGGCCATCTTGGGCGTCTTGGAACGATCTTTCGGCGACTCAGGGCCCCTCGGATCGTCTCGGGGGCGTCTCGGCTCTCTTGGGGCGTTCCCGGGGCGCTCTGGGACCTGGAAGTCAGCGCCGAAGAAGAAAACCATCGCTGGGACCGACGTGCCCAGGACCTGCTCGGGGTTCTTTTCGTCCGGGGGCCCCCAGGGGCCGCCCCGCGCGCGCGAACTAGAAGATTGTTAACTAGTTACGGGAGATCTTTGCACGCCTCTGGCCCGTTGGGCCGGCGAATTTGTCCCAAGCGTTTCTGAGATCTCGACCCCTTTCTCGGGGGCAGTATTGCGTCCTGGATATTTTCTTATTGGTCCAGGGGGCCAGAAACCTTTCCCTGGAGGGCGAAGTCGAGGGAGAAACGTGCGAAGTCGACGGAAAAACGCCAGCACGGAGAAAATCTTATCATCGGGGATGCGGGCCAAAGAGCCGCGAGAGCTTCCGAAGAGCCTCGAAGCCCGAACCGGGAGGGCCCGTCGCGGCAACACGGCGCCGGCGCCGCCCACAGGTCATGGTCGGCGGCGCGCCGAGGGGGAGTGTTTCAGTGAGGTGCTCGAACTTTGCGCCTCGAGCATCGGTGTTCGAGTCTTTCTGGCCCTCGGGACTTTAAACGGAGAAGGTTAAAGGCGAGGTATATATCGAGCATGCACCGCTGCCGTGCCTGGCTCAAGCCGGGCCCGGCCTAATATATGACTGTGCCTCACCGAGGCGCACGACTTGTATCTGAGATCGGAAAATGCCTTTTCCATTGAAGATGCCCCTTCTATCCTTTACTCCAGATCCCATGCTTCGTCTCGCGCTCTTGCTCATGCGATATGAGCCAAAGCCTGGGATATGGCAACGCTTGAAGCGCAACACATACCTAAGCTTACCAGTGCGTTTTCGACTTGGTAGCGGAGCTGGCTACACTCTCGCGTGGCTGGCTCTCGCTCTGATTCCTGTAATCCACGGCACAACTTGGTGGACTACTACTACGGTGGAATACCATGTTGCGCCGGCTCTGCGAGGAGCGGAGCCAGTCCGCGATCGAGCTAGCGGGGCAACCCGCGAGCTCGAGACGCTCTCTCCTACTTCGCTGCGCTACTTCACTCTCGACTTCCACCATATGCCAATCGGCAACTCGATCGAGAACGTGGTCACCCTGCGGGGCTACCCGCAGCGGGGCCACCTGCATCCCGTGCCAGTCAGGCGCCTCACGGCTACTACGCCAGAGCCTGACAAACCACAGCCTAAACCAATCACCGAAGCCGAAATGCACATGCACTGGATTAAGATAACTATCTTCGGCATTCTATGGGTAATAATGGGATGTGCTGTGGGATACATGCGGCAGGGGATGGACGACACGCGTACTACCGGCCCTTCGTGGGACCCTGCCGGTACTACGCCTTTTCGCGAATACGTTCGCGAAGTACATGCATGGATAAACGTAACGAGCGGCAATATGACGCCACCTCAACAAGCTGCAGCACTACAACGAGGCCTTCAAGGTCTTGCTCGTCGTATCGCCATGCAGGTCCCCTCCCAGATCATCAACTATGGTGTAACTGTCAACGGACAGCCAACGGATGCAGTTACTTATATACTGTACCTATTGAGCACCAAATTTGAAAATCTGGAAGATGAGCGCCAGCTCAACTCTGGCACTGCCCTTATCGACTTTCGCGTCGAAAGGGGCGAGCGAATCGACTCAGTGTTAGCTCGATTCGAGATGGCCCGTGACGAGGCTAACTCTGTTGGCTTTGTCATCCCCAACTTTCAGATCCTAACGCTGATCCTTTTCAGAGCGTTAGGCGTTGGCGCGTCACGAGCCCAACACCTGCTGGAGCCCTTTAATCATCAGATGCCCAGAACACAAGCAGACTATGACAGGCTGCTGACCAGGATGAGGAACTACGGACATGTTGCCGAGCGCTCTCCTGGCAACATTGCGGGTATCTTCACAGGGCACCACTCACATGCAGGTGTCTACGCCACGACTGCGGGGTCACCCGCTGGTCCTGGCGAGCCAAGTCCCTGGGCTGACCCAGCCGATATGCCCAACGAGGCCACTGCCTTCTTAGGGCAGACCGGCCAGGCATCGGCAGAGGCAGCTGAGGCGAACGCCTGGTCGAACTACTCGCCAGGCGCCGCCTACACTGCAAGCCCGCCCTCGGGCACAACCCTCTGGGGCCAAGCGGAGTCATCCGCTCAAGGGTCTCAGCCACCCTCACCGTTTGAATCTGGCACTGACGCAGATACCTCATCTGACGATGAGCACAATGGCATAGTCTCTGCTGGTAATGACTATCCAGCGGATGACACTCACCTTTCTGAACAACAAAGAGCGGAAGCCGCTTTTATGGCTTATCGCAAATCAAAACGCCGTTGGAGGCGCTTTATGAAGAAACCAGTCAGAAAAGTGAGACGTGCAGTACGCCGACATTTCAAACGATATGGAAAGGGTCGTGGCAAAGGGGGTCGCAGACGCCGTATGCATGGTGGGGGTATTACTGCTTTCCTCACGTCCTTAACTGATATAGTTTTTGAAGAAGTTCTTATCGGAGGAAAAGGTCGGGGTCACAGGCGGACCTCTGGTAAGGGAAAAGGGCGGAGGGGCAACCCTAGGGACGCTTCTGGCAATGCTATGAAGTGTCATACACGCGGTAGCACAGAGCATTTGCGCGATCAATGCCCGAAAGGGAAAGGAAAGGGATCCGTGCATTTGGCTCAAAACTCTTTTATGGATGACATAGACTACATTGACTACGAGTTTTACGTCAATCCAGAAGCGGCTCCCGCCGCGGGCTCCTCCACGTATTACGTGATGGCCCGCTACGCTGAAGTGACCGTAGCCCTGGAAGAGTACGCGGTGACCCTCTTCGACGAGTTCCACGGCTGGGACGAAGTCGACGAGGTCGCGTTCAATGCCTGGTTCGGTCTTCCAGCGGGGCCACCCGCCGACGACGAGATCTCCGATGCTGAGACCGTCCCGGCGACCGAGGAAGAGCTCGCCGCCGCGCTGGCACCGCAGGTGATTGGCATGCCGTTGCTGCCAGATCTTCCGCGAGCTGGCTCGGAAGCGGGAGACGCTGATGACGAAATGCGGGGCCATCCCGCTTATTCTGACTCTGAAGAGGCCGAAGAGGACTATAAGGACATGCTCCAAGAGCAGGTCGCAGAAGCAATCCAGCTCCTGAGTGCGCCAGCACATCAGCAGATAACCATGAACGACCTGCTGTCGCGCCCAGGAGCCGCAAGGCTGCGTCCATACCTGGATTCGGACATGTCGGCACTTCAGATGCTGACAGCACTCCAGGCTCTAGCGGGGTCACCCGCCGAAGTGACGCCAGCCGCAGCCGCGGGGCCACCCGCTTGGTCTATGGATGTATTCATGCAGGGCTGCGACCAGATGGACCTCAACGACCTCACGATGGAGCAGCTAAACGACATCGGGTACATCCGAAGCCCGTATCAGCACGTATTCATTGTCCAGGACAGCTCAGAGGACTCGGAGGACATGCGCCATGCCAAGAGGGACAGACGGCCATCGCCTCCCCGAGACTCAGAGCACGAAGATCAAAGGCCCATGGAACGTGGCAGTGCGTCAGCGGGGCCAGCCCGCAGGAGGAGCCGTTCAGCTCCACGACGCCCTACACATGATGCGTCGGGCTACCCGTACAGTTCGGAGCACTCCGTAGGTGTATCCGCTCAGTACGTGCCGGAGTGGTACATCAATTGGTACCCCGGCTACTCGATGGACGTGATCCGCCGCTGGTATTCTAAGGAGTACTGCACCAGAAGGGACGAATCTGGCATGATAATACGCACCAAGGGTGGCAAGACTAAAACGCCAGAGGCTTGGGACAAAAGGGCTAAGAAACATGAGATAATCAACGATCGCAAGACATACAGGAAACAAGTATGTCAATGCGAGCCCTTCAAAGGTCACATGCGCAGCTGTCCAATGGACCGCCCCTCCAGGAGCCCTCATCACGGTGAGACCCCGTGGAATTGGTCTCATGGAGATGACGCTGGCAACGTCCATGATCCTAACAAGGAGGTCCCTGGAGGAGGAAAGCGCATCACGAAGCCGATCGCGTCCCTATGACCGAGGAGGTTGCCAACACCGTCAGGGAAAATTGGAAACAGCTTCCCAATGACCATCGCCTCAAGGAATGGAACCGCCGATTCCATAAAGAGGCGGGGTCACCCGCAGAATCCAGCGGAGAAGCGGGGTCACCCGCAGACGCGGCGCCAATCGCTGGGTCCGCGGACGAAGATTGGATAGCTGTTGCATCTGCTGCCGGATCCGCCGCCGCTACTGACCAAACCGAACTGAATGAAGAATGGGCGGCGGAAGACGGCTCAGAGAATCCATTCCCTGATGGGTGCGCCTGCTGGTACTACAGCTCCTCGGCGCAGAAGTGGTTTTGCACAAGGGTTATTCACCGCCACGAAAATGGCAAGTACAAGCTGGCCATAAAAGGCACTGCCGACATCGACCAGATGAGGCAGATCATTCATGATCATGGCCAGCCAGAAGGCCCTCCTAAGGACCCTCCTGGTCCACAACCAGGTAAGGGCAGCAGACCACCTCCAAGACCTGAAGCCGACTCCTCGTCCTCACCGACTCCTGCGAAGAGGCACCCGTCCAAGAGCCCCGAAGACACACAGGGGCGTGCGAAGGCCAGAGTGATCGCCAAGAAGGACGACCCTAAGCAGGGAGAGCCTGCCGGCCCGTCCGTGACGGAGAGGAGGAAGGCTTTTGCTGGACCATCGACCCCGATGCCACCGGCTGCCCAAGGCGATGTCAAGGACGAAGTTCGCGACCAGCCTAAGGCAGCCTTCCGAGGTGACTGGACTCCAACTCTGCATCAGCCGCGCCTTGCACCACGACCAGGTTCGGCACGAATGAAAGCACAGCCGAAGCCCGAAGCTGGGATGAGGTCGGTGCGGGCAGAAGCAGCCGCCAAAGCTAAGGAGGACAAGGGCTCTGCGGGGCCACCCGCTAAAGCGGCGCCAGCTGCAGCAGCGGGGACACCCGCAGAAAGCACTCTCTCAAGAGAAGAACGCTTCAGAGCCCTCAAAGAATTTGGCGACCGACAGAAACTAGCCGACGATGCAGTGGCTGACCAAGGTCACCCGCGCCCTGGCGCGGAGTCATCCGCTGGAGCTGCCTCGTCAGCCGCTGGTTCTGCAGGGCCACCCGTTAAAGCGGCGCCAGCTGCATTAGCGGGGCCACCCGTTAAAGCGCCGCCAGCTGCATTAGCGGGGCCACCCGCACGCTGGCAGCCAGTGATGTCTGTTCTCAGGAACATCCCTCTGGGAGCCATTGAATATTGGCAAGGCATTGAAGGCAAAGGCCCGAAGCGCACCATAAACCCACGAGTCACTCGAGACGATACAGATCGATACGAGGTCATTGATTGCCCTGATCGTCGTAACTTCGAGTGCCGCAACGATTGGGAACGTGAACAACAAGCCGTGGGAAATATGTTGCGAGACAGGCCGCCATTGCGCGTCGCGCAGCACAGGGCAGAGCTCATGAAGGTCATGGAGAAGTTTAATGCAGATCCTACTCTGCCGCGCGACTGGCAAATGACCAAGGTGTCAATATGGTTCTCTACAGCCCTACGCCATAGTCCGTATTGGAAGGATGGATTCAGCCGACACTTCGAAAAGATCAACACTTTCGATCCATACGATGGCTGGGTTGTTATTGACGATTTGTTGACAAACTGGACTGAAAACGATCAGTGGAAAGGCTACCGTGACATGCATGATGTGCTGATCAAGGGCAACCCTCACTGTTCATACGTGTACTGGGTGTTGCTAAACTGCTGCGAGATGATCGACGGTCATGGTATGCAGAAGGGCAGGCTCCAGATGAAGTGCGTCGAGGACAGCATTAAGCTACCTCCCAGATTCCGACCAACGGTACGCAGGCCACAATACTTCATCAGAGCCACGAACGGCCATAGCAGCCCAGGCATCCACTGCCCCGAGTCGCTCTATAAGCCGATCACAACATGGATGAAGGAACCAGACGACCCAGTATACTTCATCCACGGGACACAGTGGGAACATGTCAAGGGCATCCTTGATAATGGCCTTTCGTGCCTCGGACAGGACAACCCTAAGGGGAAGGGGGGGCGCCAGTTCGTGCACGGCTGCCCCTACCTCCCGGGTGACCCGAGGATTTAATCGGGCATCCGTCCTGACTCAGAGGTGCTTATCTTCTGCAGCATCAGCAAGATGTTGTCCAGCGGTTTCTCCTTATGGAGGTCAGCGAATGACATCGTCATGACGCGGGGCCACGACGGCCGCATACCGCCCGATCATATCCTCCAGATTGTGAGCATTGCAAAATATCGGGTCGGTGAAGCCTGGAGCAATCCGCTGGCGTATGACAAATCGCGGAAGCGGGGCCAACCCGCAGACAGGATTCGCACCGATGATTACCTGCCACTTAAACTATGTGACAAAACTCTGGGTGTAATGGAAGATCACGCCATGTACCTAAAGGGCTGGTCTAAGACGGACGGCCGCCCAGTCAACTTGATCATGACCGAGCAAGATGTTGCTCCACGACCGTACGACACACAGACAGTCCTCATGATGAATGCCCAGGAAGACGAGGTCATGCCTGAGGCGGGGCCACCCGCAGGTGCGGGGACACCCGCGGTAGACACCTCGGATGGCTCATGGCAACAAGTGGTCACACCAGTAGCAACGGTAGCATCTCCTTGGAGGCCGGATCAGCAGGCATGGGTCCAGGCCCTCAACAGCTACCTGACACCAGCCGACGTTTCTGGACTGACCGACCAGCTATATCGTGCTGACCCGTGGGCGGTGCATACAGGTATCCAAGACGCACAGCAGAGGAACCTGCGCACTCCTGCGGGGCCACCAGGCGTCCTAGGACCACAGCCACAACGCCCTCCGCAGCAGGCTGGAGGTGCGAGGTTTGTCCCTATGGGCGGCTCAGATGGTGGCTCGCCGTTCCGGACTCCGCCGTCTGAAACGAGCGAGAACAGCTTGTGGCAAAGACTCCAGGCGATTCGCGGGAATCCGGCACTCGCAGCAGCACTCCAAGCAACCACTCCCTTTGGCACTCCGAGGGGTAGTGAAGGAGGAGTGGCTGCGGGGTCACCCGCCGAGCGAACGCCTGCGGAGCCACCCGCTCAAGCGGGGCCACCCGCTGACGGACAGCAAGGTTCAGACTACGAACGTCGGGCAGCCAACTTAAGAGCACAGGCTACTTTTCTGCAGCAACAAGCTGATAGAGTGCCCAGCCTGTTGCGGAACCGCAACATAGATGTTACGAATCATGGCGACTTTCGACCTCTTTGGAGTTGGACTTCTGAAGATGCTCCAAATGCTGATCCCACGAATCCATATCGACAGGTGTTTATTCCAGGAATAGCATCACACCCGATATATGGATGGGACAATCACGGTCCAGCAGAGGCGCAGGCCATGGACGCGCCGATGTACCCGGAGTACTACGCGCAGATGAATAACACTCCTATGATTGCGGGGCCACCTGCGAACGAATACACTCGGAACCTAGCTAATGAGATGTTTCGTTTGCAGTTTACACGAGCGGTCGATGCGCAGTCTATGCCGCACTACGCCTACATGCCCACGCCGACGGACCCCGAGACCATAGTTCAGCCAGCTGGTCTCGCGGTGCCAGCCGCTATGGGCAGCATGCCAGACTACATCCGCGACGTGCACAACACGCAGCAAGCGATACTGGCATCCAGGCAGCAGGCTCGGGACAACACCAGGCTGCGCCAACAACGCGCGATCCAGAGAAGGATTGAGCGCGAGGCCCAAGCGGGGACACCCGCAGAAGCGGGGCCACCCGCTGAACGGCCAGACAGACGGCCACCACCGACGCCATATCGGGAGGGCGAAACCACTTTCGAGCGCCAAGCTCGGACTCGCCCTGACGTGCCTGCTCCAGTCATTTCAGACTACAACTTCACTCAGTGCCCAATCTGCATGGACAACTACGAGATGGGCACTACAGTGTGGAGACTGGCGTGCGGGCACTTCTTTCACGACATATGCTGGGACCGTGTTGCACAACAGCACGTCCGCAATCAGCGGCCAGGTGCGTCGAATGAGGCCCCCTGTGCCGTATGTCGGGGACCGGGCATAGTGATAGCACACTTCCCATATGCTGGACAGCGCGACGCTGAGTCGGACCAAGCGCGCCAGCAGGAAAGGTATGTTGCAGATGCCCGAGAAATGCGTCGGTTACGAGAAGCAGTGGAGGCACTGGAGGCTCGAGTCGCTCTATCAGCGGAGCCATCCGCACGTGCCCCAGCTGCACAGGCATACCCCTGGCCAGCGCCAGAACAAGGCATTCAGATGCCGATCCTGTCCACGCTCCGAGCGCAGGAGCCCCCAGCTGCGGGGCCACCCGCCGAAGCGGCTCCCGCCGCCCAAGCGGGGCCACCCGCAAACGGACCTCCAAACCCAGGTTTCCTGAGGACCATGGAGGCCAACACCGGGCGGAGTGGCAGGAGCGGAGGCGGGGTCCGAAGGCCAACTGGATCAACCAGGACCTCTCGAGTGGCAAGCCCGGTCAGCGCCAGAAGCCGGGCAAGCGCTGAGAGTGCAGAGGCAGCCCAGTTTCATACCACGTTCATGATTGACACAGAGGGGCTGACCTACGCGCGTGACGATACAGACACGCTGCCACCAGGAGGCGAATGGATGTCCACGCTCTCTGCAAACTATTGGGTCCCCCAGCAGGAACCAATTATTGTGGAGGAGCGCCGCCAGTACGACCAGATGTGGTGCACCGAGCTGACCATGAGCCAATGGGTTCTTGAACAGCGCCTGTTGAGGGGTACACTCGGATCACAGATCACGTACCACACCAATGACCACACTGGCGTACAGGTCGCTCTTGCAGCGCGCAATGGGACATTCTCTCCTGATGAAGATGGTGTGCCCTGTATCTCGTTCATGCTGGACATTGGTTCTAATGTGAATATCATTGGATCCAACACGGCGCGGACCTTCCAGGAGATAATGGCCAGGTACAACTACCGACCTGCCATCTGCACCCTGAGCAAGACCCTCTACATTAATGGTGTCGGGGAGGGCGCTGCGATATGTCGGAAGATGGGCAACTTCAAGATCGGGGTACAGTATGCCAACGAGGCGAGCCCCCGTATCGAGGAGTATGCCTCCAACATCGCAGAAGGTTCGGGTGCCAATCTCCCGGCCATCTGGGGCCTAGGAGCCATGGAGGCACGTGACACGATCATCGTGCTGAAGCCTGGCTACCAGAAGGTCATCTTCCCCAGCGGTGACTACACCCTGAAGCTGGGAAGAGGCGCCAAGGTCCTGAAGGCGAAAAAGACTCCCTCGGGCCATCTCGCGATTCCCTGCGGGCTGTATGAAGGGGCCAAGAGCCACACGGTCACGAACACCTTCACGATCCGCCGCAGTCGAGATGGCTACACCGAGACGGAGAACGAAGAAGACCCCGTCAGTGCGGGGCCACCCGCTGAAACAACAGCGGGGCCACCCGCTACGGGACAGTCTGCGACCTTCATGACCGATACGTACATCGTCGAGCCGTGCATCGACAAGCAGCTCCTGGAGGACACGACCCGTTTGATCGTGAACAGGACGCTGAATAATTGGTGGGAGTGCCGACAGGGTCCCGAAGGGACTGGGCCACACATGAAGGCTGCCCTGAAGTCCAAGATTTTCTGGGCAGTCCAGGAGGCGGTGAGCAAATGGGCGCCTGAGGATCCAGCGGGGCCACCCGCGTCGCCGCCACCACCACCAAGCCACATGGGCGGAGGTTCGTCGGACTCTGCGGGGCCAACCCGCGTGGAGATCGTGGGTCACGCTACGGATCGGACGGAATACTTTGACATTTCTGAAAACAATCCGCCGATTCTGTCTGCGAGCGTGGCCACACCAGCTGCGGGGTCACCCGCCGAGCGAACGCCTGCGGAGTCATCCGCTAACAGCATGCCTCCGAGCCAAGCGGCAACTTGGTCTCACGACCGCCGCTGACGGGGGCAGGCGGGCGCGCCGGCGGCGCTCGCTTGCGATGAGAAGCCGAATACCGGCCTCCTCGCTACATACGTTGGCCGCGCTGAGGCCCGAGAGGAAAAATATCATTCAAAATGTCTTGTCATCGAGGATATTCGCACAGCTTGCGCTGAACTCCGAACCCGTGGCTATATATGTGATCGGATTACCCATAATGAGGTAATGACTTCAACTGGAACACAGTATTTGGGAAATTTGTTGGCAGGAGACTACAATATGTTGTGGGTGGCCACACCCTCTGATTGGTACGTTCGTACTCCAGGAAAGAGGGCGGGACCACACTATCAACGTATACAAAATCTCCTGATCAAAGCGCGTGCTCTGAGAATGCAGATTGTTATCCTGGGGCCACCCGGGTATTTCTGGAAACAGGGTCCGATCAAAGATGTTATCGAAGATTTGAAGCTAAGCATTATACGAATGAGACTCTGTCATTTCGGTATCAAGTTTGACCGCTCCAGTAAATATCCCAGTGGTTCTTATATACAAGTTGCTACATCTTGTCCTCATATACCGATAAACTTATGGAGATGTACTTGTGGCTCACACAAAGAGCATGATTTGGATTGGTATGGCCAAGATCAGCAACGTGCCGAGTTCCGGCATAAAACCTTGGCTATCATCACTGCACGCTTCCTTGATCAACTCAATAAAGCCAACGTGATTAGGAATGAGCGGAGTGCGGTACACCTCAGTGTGTGTACGCGCGTTGACAAAAAGGTAAGACACTACGTTCAATGTCCACAAAAGGGCCCTCAATGGGAC